CCCCTCAAGTGAGGGTGCTACAGCAGTCAGGTCGGTTGTTCCCTAAGTGCCCTCAAGGAGGTTCATTGATACCCCTGCCACCTCGGTGCTTCAGGGCTCAGTGAGCTCCGACGAGCGAAATTCCCAGCTGCCACTCGGCAATGGTACGGCACGGGAGAGCTCGCCCCCTCAAGTGAGGGTGCTACAGCAGTCAGGTCGGTCGTTCCCTGCCGGTCATCTGCTTCAGGGCACCGAACTGGCTCCTATAATAATACCAGATGCCAGCCTCGAGAGGCTGGTTCTCTTAGTAGATTTTCTGGTAGCGTGGAAACTTCTACCAAATATCTCAAAATGGGTCCTGCAGATTGTAGAGTAAGGTTACAGAATCCAGTTTGTTCTCGTCCGCCTCGTTTCAATGGGGTCATCCCCACACTAGTGGGCCCCGAGCAGACTCTGGTAATGGAACAAGAAGTAGATAATCTTTTGAGGAAGGGGGCCATAGAACGTGTTCTGCCTCTCTCGAGAGTGTCCAGGTTCTACAGCCTTTACTTCATCGTTCCGAAAAAGGTTGGGGGGTTGCGTCCGATCTTAGATCTCTGTCTTCTGAACCACGCTATCAAACGGCTTCAGTTCAAGATGCTCACTATCAAGCAGATAGTATCTCAAATCCAGTTTGAGGACTGGTTTGTTACGATAGATCTCAAAGACGCTTATTTCCATGTTTCCATCCTCCCTCAACACTGGAAGTTCCTAAGGTTTGCTTTCGGGGGCGAAGCATACCAATATCGAGTTCTTCCCTTCGGCCTGTTACTCTCACCCCGCACTTTCACGAATTGTGTGGATGCTGCTCTGGCTCCTCTGCGACTCCAGGGCATCCGCATACTCAATTACATCGACGATTGGTTAATACTAGCTCAATCGTAGCAGATGGCATCGAGATGTCATCCTCGCCCATATGAGAGAGCTGGGGTTAAGACTAAACGCCAAGAAGAGTGTACTTTCGTTATTTCAGAGAACCACTTATTTAGGCGTGGTGTGGGACTCAACCTCGATGCAGGCACGTCTGTCTCCTGCTCGAATCGAGTCAATCCTCACGACAGTCACGAGAGTAAGAGAGGGCCAGTCACTCACTGTCAAACAGTTTCCGTTTGCGCCCCTTGTACAAGCTGGCGCGCCAGATCCTTCTGTGGGCTCAGGGGAAGCTCCTCTCTCTAAGAGCAGTTTACATCCCTGGGTATCTAAGTCAGGGGGCAGATATCCTGTCGAGACTGGGGCTGAGGCCCGGGGGATGAGGCTCCACCCCAATTGGAGGGAATTTGGCCAGGCGGAAGTGGATCTATTTGCGTCGCAGGAAACGACACACTGTCCGCTCTGGTTCTCCCTCACACATCCAGTTCCACTGGGGCTGGATGCCATGGTGCAGACGTGGCCGAGGCTTCGTCTGTACGCCTTTTCCTCAATCCCTCTGCTCCCGGGAGTTCTGGCGAGGGTACGCCGGGATGGGGTCCGTCTGTTGCTAGTATTCCCGTTCTGGCCGGCCCGAGTATGGTTCTCGGACATGAGTCCCTCCTCGACGGCTCTCCGCTGGAGATTCCGATCAGGAGGGACCTCCTCTCTCAGGCGGGGACCAGGGCCCATAGTACTTCAGGCATTCTGTCCTCCTCCATTCCAGGAAGTAGGCCAAGAAAGCCTTAATCTGCTCTGTCCAGTTCGAACACTGGACGCTTACACACACAGAGCTGCCCCGTGGTGTAAGGCAGATCAGCTATTTATTTGTTTTGGTCCGCCAAAGAAAGGATCTCCGGCGCCCAAGCAGACCATGAGTAGATGGGTGGTCGAAGCCATCTCACTAGCCTATGAGTCCTCTGGCCTCCCGTCACCTATGGGGGTCAGAGTGCACTAGACCAGGAGAATGGCGGCCTCCAAGCACTTTCTGTTTCGTGCCTGGAATTTGCTCCAGACATGGTTAGGGCATTCCTTTACTCAAGGGCCGGGTATGTCCCTAAGGTGCCCACTTCTTCACCAGGGCCCATAGTACTTCAGGCATTCTGTCCTCCTCCATTCCAGGAAGTAGGCCAAGAAAGCCTTAATCTGCTCTGTCCAGTTCGAACACTGGACGCTTACACACACAGAGCTGCCCCGTGGTGTAAGGCAGATCAGCTATTTATTTGTTTTGGTCCGCCAAAGAAAGGATCTCCGGCGCCCAAGCAGACCATGAGTAGATGGGTGGTCGAAGCCATCTCACTAGCCTATGAGTCCTCTGGCCTCCCGTCACCTATGGGGGTCAGAGTGCACTAGACCAGGAGTATGGCGGCCTCCAAGGCTTTCAACTTGGGTGTGGCCTTGCAGGACATTTGTGCCTGCTGCGGGCTGGTCCTCTCTGCACACTTTTGTCCGTTTTTACAACCTAGACCTGGCATCTACCCCAGGTTCCCAAGTTCTCTCTTCGTGATGTGCTTGCAAGATACACACACAGGCAGGGACTTGGTAGTATGGCACAGTGGGTATTCTCATTCCCAAAATGACTTAGACGCAGCTCGAGTTCCTGAAGGGGAACGTCTCTAGGTTACGTATGTAACCATGGTTCCCAGAGGGAACGAGACGCTGCGTCTCTTTGCCATACTCCCTGGATCCCTCCAGGCGCTACTTGATCGAAGCTGGTTTGCGCTCTGCCGGATGCACTTTTATACTTTCTGGTGCTTACGTCACCCCGCTCGTGACGTCTCGCTACTCCATTCGACTGATTTGACACGTGCTTCAGAACGCGGTCAAGTAGGGGTGTTCCCAAAGCGACTTCAAGGCAGCGTCTCGTTCTCTCGGGGAACCATGGTTACATATGTAACCTAGAGACATTTACCATATTCTTCATTCTTTCAAGCAGACATATTTATTTCTATAAATAAATTTAGATTAATCTTTAGGGCTACTAAAGTTTTTCAGTCAAGAGCAGTGCATGGTTTTCTGTCTTTCTATTGTTGCTTATTTAACATCAATGACTCGGACAATAGCAACTAAATTAGGCTGCTGTCCCTTTAAAACCAAATGCACAGCTGCAATGGATGCAATGTACTGATACACATTCTCCCTACTGTTTATGTTCACTTAAAGGGTTAGTTCACCCAAAAATGAAAATTAGCTTGTGTTTTACTCACCCTCGAGGCATCCTATGTGTATATGACTTTCTTCTTTCAGACGAATCCCTGTCGGAGTTGTCCTGGCTATTCCAAGCTCTATCATTGCAGTCAGCGGGTGTTGCAGTTGAACAGTTAACAAGTCGTCAAACAAAGTGCACGCATCCATAATAAAACATGCCACAGACGGCTCCAGGGGGTGAATAAAGGCCTCCTGTAGCGAATCCATATGTTTTTGTAAAAAAAATATCCATATTTAAAACGTAATAAACACTTTTCTCTCACTTCCGGTATCTGTCATACGTGGAAGCAGTGTCGGCAGATGACGTAGCAAGTCGGCGTTGCGTGATTAGTGAGGAACTGGTTTTCCTTCGCTAAAGTAAGGAAACTTTGCTTCCTTTGCTCCTGTAAGAAAACTCGCGAGACTAGCATATCTCAGAGGTGTGCACGCTGCGCATATGTGCTGCGTCATCTGCCG